CGTAAGCATACCTAAATATACCTCACTTTCTCACTCATAGCGTTTGCGATACATACGGAGATGTGGCACGGATACGGCGTACGTCGCTCCAAGTGCGTGCTCACGGCTTTGTGATCGTTGGTCTCGCTTGATAATCCCTGCTGTGTAGCGCAACCTTGGTGCAATTTTCTTTAGAGCCTGAGCACGGGTTGTCCAGCGACATGTGCCTGTCCATATTTGGGTGATTCGTGTTATAGTTGGGTGTGCAGCAAAGCGTACATGCGTGATATGTGCTCGAGAAGCAACCTGGTCACAGGCCGCCATGTTATTTACCGGGGTAATCGATTGCGGTAATCCCTTGTTGTAGATTACGTGCCACTTTGGTCCAGAACCCATCTAATATGTTGGGGTGGCCTCTCCATGTACTTTGTAAGTGTCCCTGGTGGAGGTAGGAGGATGAGTAGATCAGGAAAGTTGTACAACAAAGCGTGGCAGAAGCCTGCAAAATGTCGAGTCTTTGCGGCATGAACCGTCGTAGCGTACGCCGTTCTTGAGTGAAGCGCACTTTTCCGTGGCAGATCCATGTCCAGGTAAGGGCATCTCCGAGAGTTGCTTTTCCTGCCGCAAAACTCGCACTTTTGAGGTCGTACCTGACTCCATCTCGAGATAGGAGCCATGAAAGATTTAAAAGCGAAGCATGATGTAACCATTTCGTGTCCACCCGGCCGAGGTGGGACACTTCTTTCTGCCTATCGTTGAAAGAGGTGGTCTTTGAAACGTCGGTGGCATCCACTTCAACGACACCATCGCTGTCAAATGTGTCCTTAACTTTGGATAAAAAACACTCGGCCCTCCGACTCACACGCTCAGCGATCCCGCCTCGGGCATGTTCAGCCACCGATACACCAACAACGGTCTCTCCAGTGTCCCACAATGTGGTTTTAATACGGATTGGCACTGTACCAGATCAAATCGGGGTAATTTAAGTAAATTTTGTGCCTCCACCTCCCCATAAGACATCCCCGATATGGCGATTAAAGGAGCCTGATGAAGCAGCTTATGTACCCACCGTTTTTGCAGCGATCGTAATTATCTCAGTCGTAATTCATGGCGCCGCAAGCCCCTTATTGGGCGGTCGGTAGCTATGCCTATTCAGAAGGGACCCAAGGTCTGTTCCGTTTGCCGTCCCGAGTTCTCCAGATAAAACCTTTAATCATCTTGCTACTTCGTAGAACAGTAGCCTTCAACGGCCAGCAGTGCCGAGCAACATATAAGAATTTAGGTACAGAAGTGGCACGAACAAGGTGGAATTTCTGTTCGACCGAGTGCGTTTTTTGACGGGCCAAGGCTAAACGTGCCTATACTACTTGGATACATAAGTACCAGTTTATTGTAGAAAAATCGCCTTGATCACTCAAATACCAAGATATCGGCAGTGGTTAGTTGGGCTCAGTAGCGTAAGACCGAGTGTGTGATCCGGTGCCAGTGTTGTGTGGTGCAGAGAATTTCCGAACGTGGTATTCCCTACTTTTGACTTGATTATAGGAGAAGTGAACCCGATGAGAGAAGCCGGAGCACATCGAAGTCGACAAATCAAGGCTCGACGAGGGAAAAATCGACGAGGGAAGACATGGAGAGGGAATACTCGACGAGACAAGACTTGACGACTGAAGACTCGACGAGGGAAGACTTGGCAAACCAAGACTCGACGAGAGAGCAGGATGATGACAAGTCCATATCACTAGGTATTAGTATAGGACGACGAGGGTGATGAGAAGAACCACTTGAGAGTCCTTTTGTAATCAGGAAGATAATAAGAGATGATCAATACCGAGTAAAATTTTCCAAGTCAAGACACGTTCACAATTTTAGGTTAAGTCCCTGTGTGGGCTAGGTTATGTCGGCTGTCGAGCCTCGAGGAGTATAGCTTTTAGAGGTATCGATTGGAAGCACCAAGAGTTATGTCGGCCCGGGGTAGGCATTAATCTCTTCCAACAAAAGATAAGTCTCATTGCACAGTGAACCGGTAACCCAATAGGCGGAACCGCTTTAAGGCTCGTCGCACAGCGATCTGGTGACTCAGTAGACGGTACCGCTTTAAGTCCCGTCTCACGACGAGCCGGTGACTTAATCGACGGTACCGCTCTAAGAATCTCGAACGGCGAGCTGGTGACCCAATAGACGGGACTGTCTAAAGACTCGTCAAGTGACGAGCTGGTGGGTCTTTAACCAAGGACACCGTAATTCTTTCAGTCGGGCGTATACTGAGCCCGGTGACCTGTAAATGCGTGAAAACGCCGACGTCTGCCTATTGATACGAAGTCACAGGATTAGAGAAACGGAAACTGCTGATACATTTTTCTGGAAAGGAATGTGAGTGGTAGAAGGTATTTAGCTAGGCGAGAGCCACAACTGAACACGAAGGAGCGAGCCTCGAAGGGAATATGCCCGACGTACTAGCCCGGCTGCGCCGACTAGCTCGGCGATTGTTGTGTTGTTACGTTGAGACAAGCTACTATACCACAGTTGCCTGATCTCCTGGCTGAACGATGATCGACTTGCTCTTGTTAATGGCCAGCCCCGATACATTTTTAAGAGCTTCAACTGTCTCAAGCACCTGAGGAATCTCGCGTTAGTGGGTGCGATAAACGGCTGTGTCATCGGCGTAACCAGATATAGCAATAGTTTCTGCCCTTCCAGATGCAGCGATTAGTTCTCCATGAATTACTGAACGCCTGAGAAAACCCTTGAGCGCGCTGTCTGGGTGAGAATGAGTAGCAAAGATGCCATTGGGCATACTTGTAGGATCCCACACTTCATTTCAACACTCCGAGATTGTATGTCATTGACAATGAACTAACATGTAGTATTCGCGTGGGGCGCGGAGACGATGGTGACAAATTTTGGCGAAAACCCCAACCATTTAAGAACCGATAGTAAAACGGGTCGCTGCAAGGTGTCGTACGCCTTAGCAAAGTCCAAAAAGAGGACGATTGCATCTTCCATGTCGTCGTCATTCTTCCCCGCGAGCTTTGCCGCTACAAAGATGTCGAGTGCAGTCGCTGTGTTGCGAACTAGTACAAATCCAACTTGTGAAGTTTCGACCACTGATGGTAGCATCGCTCGAAGCCTGATGGCTAAAATTTTGATAAAAATGTTGTAGTCCCTGTTGAGTAGAGCGATTGGCCGGTGGTCAAGCGGTCGGGAAGGCGTTGATGATTTCTTAAGACACTGAATGTTGGCCTCGCCAAAGGAGCAAGGCATCACTCCACACTCAAGCTAGCTGGTGTATGATTCCGCCAGGATGGGTGCAAGTTCTACGGAGAAATCTTTGTACGAACTATTGCCAATTTCGTCCGGTCCGGAAGCTTTGCCATGTTTGCACTTCTGTATCGCAACTAGGATATCTGACGATTCAATTGCAGATACCACGTTTCATCATCTAACGCCGGTGATTTTCTGCCTCTATCCTTCTTGGGTTGCGCCATTCTATGCTGGTTTCCTTTCGCATATTTGGGACAGTCCTCTCGTGTTCGGCGGGTGGTCTAAATGTTCATTTCATAGATTCCTCGCAAGTTGCTCCACATCGTCTAGGTCAAATGTCTAAATCGACGGTGAAAGTGCATCAGTGTACCCTTATGGATTCTCAATACTGCCGGTTTTAGAGACTCTACCCCGCCCGTCACGATATCTGTGGTGCTTTGTCGGGAAAATCAAAAGTGAATTTATTAGGTCCTTCGTTCACACACGGTGCTCTTCTAAGCCTAATGCATACGTTGCTCTATTCTTTACTGAATCTGTAATTGATTTACGGTATAATTCCTTTCTTGATCCAGTTACGATGACGTAGGCTAATTTATGTGAAACCGGCGACTTGTGAAGAGTCAATCGACCCTACAATATCCGTAGCCCACGAATTTGCTGACTTGACTCTTCTCGGTCAACCACCAGCACGTTTCCTTTAATTTGAAATACAGTACCAGTCTTTTCCTCTTCACGATTAGCTGACGTTCATTAAGATCGGAGAGTCCGAACCCTTACGGAATGAGGGTGTACAAAGAGATCCGGTTCACGGCGAGCTGAAGTGCAAACCGCGCGTTCTTGAGCTTGATCCAATATGTCAAGCCGGCCTTCGCCCTCTCGCGCTTTTACGCGATTTATCATTACCCTTGTCAATGTAGTACCTTGCGATATGACCGACATCGTCACACAGTCTACGTCTCCTGGAAACCCCGTTACAGACTGACTGCGTCCGCCTTACATACAGTGTGGATGCGGTGCAAGTGTAGAAAAGAAAGAAAGTATGGTTTATGACTTCCCTATTCAAACGCGCGCCAGACGCTATTCTCTATCCTGCTCCTCTTAACGACTGAGAGCCTTTTGGAACTTAGTGTACCTACACAAGTCACCCACCATAACGACCGGACGTGGCAGCTGGGGCGTCGACCCGAAAGGGAGTGTCCGCTATGACAACTCCTTTTCCAACAGCAAGTGCCGTCACTTCTCTAGGGCACTGCCAACATCTCAATCTTCCCAAACTTCAGCGTGTTATTCGTACCGCATACAGTGCCTTACATTACTCTTGAGCTGAGGCGAAGGTGGGGTCCTGCGTGGCGACACGTACCTACAAAGATGATCGAGAAACCGCTTATCCGAAATGTAGCAACGAATCGATTGGGAACATCTCTCCATCGATTGCTGTAGTATCCGAAATGCCGTTTTAGTTGCAACGAATTGCGAGTCCGACGACCAAAGCCACGAATGAGTGTGCTAACCGTGTGACGGCCAAACTGCTTTGCAGCTACTTCTGTGTCTGTGCGCACGTCTCCATCGCTCAGTGTGAGTAGAGTAAGCTGACCCTACAAAGCTCAGCGTCAGGCGTCTCACATGCAGTTTCTCACACACACACACACAGAGACCCAATCGAGGATGAAAAAAGCGACGCCCCCGTGTTTGCTCACTTGACGACGATACACACATTGAGCAGCAGCCATTGGACGCAGCAATCGACAACGCAGCAGTTACATGACACCGCACGATTTGGCTGCGTCTCGCGTCGCTTGCTGCTCTTGTTCCTGCTCTCCGTGCTGCTCTTGTTCCTGCTCTCCGTGCTGCTCTTGCTGCTGCTGCTGCTCCTCCCTCCGCGGCGACGCCACCGCCTTTTGCACGGGGCTCGTAGCTTCAGGTAACGTGCTCTCCCTCCTGCGTTCGCCTCCACGGGCCACCATCCGATCGAACGGGTCGTCAGTCCTGTCTTCGTGCTGCCAGCGCTGCTGCACTGCAGCGACGACCTCGATCGGCACACCTCTCTTGGCAGCATCCAGTTTCATCTGCTCACGCAGCACCGCCTTCTTCACTGCATCGTTCTTGAACGGCACTGCCACAACAAGACACAACACCGACACACACACACACCACAGTCCGTCAGTCCGATAAAGTCTCTTCTTCTTCTGCCGCCATTGGCAGTATCCACAAGAGCACAGCACGGACCAAATGCGTCTTCGACCGCCTCGGCGGCCACGTCTGGCGGTTCGTCCCACCGGTCTTCGCCCGTCTCTGTATTGTGGTAATACACACGCCCTCTCTTGGACGTCAGAACGGCCCATCGCTTCCGTCGCTTCGGCGTACTGCGGTCAATCGCAGGTGCGCCACTGCGGTCGAACGCGACAGTCGCAGTCGCGGGGGTCGTGCCATCCGTCCGCGCCACAACGGCCTCGTACGGCCGCTTACATACGGTGCACGTGCCCAGCGACAGCATATCTTCTTTCGGCACGTTCACGCGGCAGTTGGTGCACTTGATGAAGCGCTCGTTCAGCGTACCGCTCGTGGCGCCGTGGACGCCCCGCTGCGGTGCCTCCATTTGTCTCGAGGGGGTGTCACGTTGACGAAAACACGCTCTCAATACAAGACCAGCGACATGGATACAAGCGGACTCAGAAAAACAGCCAGATAAAAAAAGCAGCAGAAAAAAAGTCAAAAAGAAAAAAAAGAAAAAGAGAGAGAAAAAGAGAAAAAGAGCTGTCGCAAACCTCGACGATCGAATGTTCCATGCGGGACGATAGGGTCTTTCTCGCGAAAAACGACTGCAGACGGGGCACAGAAGACCGAACGACTTGTCCAACCGACGCCGACAGACAGTCGTAAAAAGTAACGCCACAGACGCGCCGGCAGCCCACGCGTGTTGCAAGAGTGTGACTGAAGTAACGCCACCCACATCGTGGCCCATCTACATTTCCACATCTATGCTTCTTGACGCCGTTCGGTACGTTCACATGGAGCTCGAGAAAGCGCCGCATGCCCCCCACCCACACACTTGTCGTCCGTCTGACGTGGTCGGTACCGTCTGTCTGTGCTTGTTTGTCATGTCGCGCGTAGGTGGATGGACGCGTCGCTCGTGCACCCCGTAGCTGCTCGACTCGCTGCGTCTGTAGCCAATCCAGCCGTGCTGAGCTTTTTACTATGGGATCGACTGAAAGCGCTGACGCCGCAGCGCGCGCGCGACCTGACGCGGCTGCTGACGACTGCCATGGCCGACGCACTCGGTGTGTTTGGCGCGGAGAAGGGGCAGCAGCTCCGCGCGCGTGCCACGCAGCTGCAGCAGGACTTTGTACGGGCGGCCGTCTCGCGCAAAGGTCGGGACGTTGTGCTGCACAGTGTGGCGACTGTAGCCAAAGTCGCACAAGCACTCAATACGCCCGAGACCAAGTCAGCTACGCAGCAAATGGTGTCCACGCTGCAGTCGGTATTAGACTTCTTTGCGAGTGACGACGGACGGCGCGTGATCGAGACAACGGGCGAGTGCATCACATGTGCGACCGAGATGGCCGCGTCGCCGGAAGCCTCGATTTTCTTGGCCGAGCTGGCGTCAAATCTCTTGCATGCGCTCGAGAGCGAGGAGATACGGCAGCAACAGGCGACTGCAGATAAAGTAGATGGGATGGTCCACAAGCGGAACGCGCAGGACGATCGAGACGTGGAGAATGAGCACGAGCCGCAGCGGGGGATGGAGGCGAACGAGCAAATGGCGGGCAAATGCGTAGACTCGCCGACGTCTTCGATGACCGACACCCAGTCGGGTACGCATCGTCCGAGTTTGAAGTCATCGCCTGCCGAGCAAAACAGCAGCTACCGCTCGGCACGCATTGAAAAGGAGGTGTTGACAACAATGGGAGTGGACCCCTCGATGCTTGGTGAGATCCAGCGTGTGCTCGACATGATTGCTGCAAAGGAAGGAAAGGAAAAGCGTGCGGCAATGCAACGTCAACATGAAGAGGCTGAATATGTTGCGGGCTTAGTCGTGCCGGAGCCGAGTCAACACGACGCTGGTGGAGACAGTGCCGACGCAGGTATTGCGCACGCATTCGGCGACGGCGAAAACGAGGCGAAAGTCGATGAGGATGTCAATGGAAGCGAGGGAGCGTCACCACCCGTGCTGGTTCCCGATTGGCACGAGGAGCCGCTGCGAAAGGCACTGCACCGCCGTCATGCGCACGCTGAGAAAGTGGCCGGGCAACGCGATCCGTTCGATCGTCAGGCTCGTGAGATGGCTGCAGTGCTGGTCCAACGCAACGCAACTCGCGGGAATTTGCCGTCTGGCGATATAATCGCTTGCCGAGTTATTGCACGGGTGCTCGTGTATGGTGTGGGTGCGTTTGTGCTGCTGTCGGGCTACCTGCTTGGTCGTCACTTGCTTGGCCGAGAAGCGTAGTGGACTCCGTGTTACTATTTAGCATTTTTGCTCTTAATTTACTCCACTGTATCACCCGAGTCCGCCGTTGCTTCGCAGTCTTGTCCCGAGGCCACGGCAGCTTCCACAACATCGTAGATAGGTTCAACCCACCGGTCAAGCTTAGCAGAGTGGCGGCTGCAAACTGACTCCTTCGCATCTAGATCCGGCATCCATTGGCAAAAAAAACTGACGTTGCAGGTCCCAGCAGTACACGCTGGACAGAGTTCACTGCGATTCCACAAGCTCATTCTACGCCTTCACGCTCGAAAGGATGGTCAAGCATGCGCACACACATCATCTTTGCTGACACGCTATCGTCGAAAGTCATTGTCGTATGCACAGCAATGATGCCAGCAGTTGTCGTCGAGACACACGGCAGTCGACGAAGCTTTACGTCAGGTTAGTTCTTTCTCTTTGCCCAGTCGCTGCCTCGTCACTAGTTTCGAGCTACTTGTTGCGGTTTGATGACCCAGTTGGAGGTAGACGCGGCCGCTGACATCCCAGGATTCCAGTTGCTCGCATTGGGGACGCACTACGCACAAGGCACTTGTCCGTTGCACGACACCGACTATACCCCCCCACACCTTTACACCTCGACCACGTCTTCCACCAGTCGGTGCACCCGACCGCGCGTTCGTTTCCTCTTCTGCCAGGCCACCACACGGCCTCGTCCAAACCGCGCAGTCCATAGTGTGTTTGTGCAAACAAGCGCGACACCCCTCGATTTCAGCTCGCGTAAACTACATTGTCCCGCACTTGCCGTCACGGGCCCTAGCCCTACTGCAATCCCGAAACCCCGTCGCTCGCCCGCGCGAGTCGGTCGCATTAGCCGCTGCGCGCGCCCCGTATCCATTTCGACCGCTGACGGCCCTTTTTCTGTCCGCGCTCTCACTTAATTCACCTGACAAAGCCGGCGTCGCGTGCTCGCCGACCAGCTGTTTGGCCAGAACCCCCACGCGTGACATTCGGTGCACTGGCTCGTCTCCCCTCCAATCGCTCCGCTCGCTCCTCTCTCTCTCTCTCTCCATGTCGCCCGTCGGCCCTCGTCGGCATTTGCGCCTTTGCCGCAACAGAGCGCCATGGACTCTGCCAGACTTTTGCCCCTCGTGCGCCTCGTGTGTCCCATTGGCGCGTCCATTAGTATCCTCGTGACAATGGTCACGTGCGTCGTTATCGTCAAAGCGAACGACATTTGGGTCAGTGGCCTCACGTGGCCCTTTCTCTCGGACATGGGCAGAGGTGCGACCGACAGACAGACAGACAGACAGATCGACAGACAGACAGATTGACCGACAGACCGACAGATCGACTGACAGATTGACAGGCAGAGAGTGAACCCATATGGGGAGCTACAGGAAGTTGAAAAGGGCTGACGCTATCTGTGTGTGTGTGTGTGTGTGTACTTGGGTTGGACTATTGTACGTGACTGTGTGTGTGTCTGTAGATGCCCCGGCGTACTATGTGTTTGCAACGGGTCTCTCGGTCGTGGCGGTGCTGCTCGTGGTCACGTGGACGCTCAACTGGCGCTACCACATCTCGGCGCTGCCGTCGGACGACACTGTCTACCGCTCGATCGCTTTTGTTGCGTTCTTTGCAGGTGTTATGGCGAACTTGGGACTTCCTGTGCTGGTGCGTGGCACAAGTGTGAAAGGAGTCGAGGGAAGAGAGAGAGAGAGGAGGAGGAGGAGGAGCGTGCGGTGCTGTGGTACTGACGAAAGATGTGCTCGCTCGTGTATGAATATGGGAATGACAATGAATGGATGGCAGGCGTTCTTCGATACGTCCAAGCACGCAAAAGTCCATGCACTGGGTGCCGAGTGGTTTTTCTACATTGAGACCATAGCTGTGCTCTTGAACGTACGTGGCATGTTGCGGCTACGAGCATTTGTGTCTGTCTGTGTCGTGTGCGGCAGAGTATGAGCAATCGGTCGGCTTGTTTCTCACTATTTCGATCGCGCGCTCTCTCTCTCTCTCTCTCTGTCTTTGTCTTTTGTTGTCCGCCATGCAGATGATTGTAAGCTACAAGCTGTACAAGTTGCTGACGGGATTGCAAGTGGACTTGGAGAATTCGTGCTCGACCGTGGGGTCGAAGCTCCATCGGAGGAAAAAGACGCTGACGATCCAAGTGCTCTTCTTCTCGCTCTTTTTCATGGCGTTCCTCCTGTACATGCCCATTGGCACGGCGGTGGCGCCCCAGTCGTATCGCCTCTCGATCGACGATTGCATCGATAAGGGCTTAGGCGACACGTACTGCGAAGTGACTATGCGGCTGAACTCGACCTCGACTACACTATATGACAATGGTACGTGCGTGCTCCTTTTGCCAGCTCAATGGATCTCGACTCGCTCGCTCTCTCGATGTGGTATCTCACACCCAATTGATTGTGTTTGCTGGAATCGGTGTCCAGAAAAGACCTACGGCCTGAGCCAAATGCGAGCTGCGGCTCAACTCGCCTGCATCTTGATGCTCGTCGGGTACTCGACGTCGTTCATCACGAACGACTATGACGATGCCCTCGGCCAGCTCTTCACCCCGGACGCCAAGATTGCCGTGCTGCAGTAGAGCGCGCGGCGACATTTAGTAGAGCTATTGGAAATATTAGGAACTGGTGTGCGATAATGGACGACCAGATTGTGAGCATTCGAGCGCGGCTGCTGCTGCTGCTGCTGCAGTGGCTGGTCACCCGTCGTCTATCTTGTGGCTGCGGCCACCATCTGGCTCTCTTCAGCTCGTCGGCGACCTGTTGCAGCGCTCATCAGTTCACATCTTTTGTGGCTGCTACTGGAACTGCTCGACGAGGAACGTGTGAACGCGCTCGGAAGACTGGAGGAGACCTTGAGCAGAAGCCGCGGGGCGGCAGGTGAGGTGAGTGGGCGCACGTCAAACCTTGAGGGGCTGTCTGGTTGAATTAGGTTGCAGGACGACGCCACCTCCGGAACAGATTCTCGTCGGCTCTGCTGTTCGACCATTTGGTTTCAAGCAAAACTGCTTGACACGACGACTTGCGCACATCTGCTCGTGGACACATCGGTTGATGTTTTCGAGCACACCTTCTTTGGCTTCCAATCAAACGTGAACCGTAGCCTCTCTCTCGCTCGCTCTGCGTTTTTTTTCGTGCTCCCAATACCTCTCGTTGGACCGATGAGCCGCAATGTCGTAATGCTCTGCAGGTACCGCCTCGTCGTCGTCCTCATCGTACATGTCTTCATGTTGCAGTGGAAAGGCAGGAGAGCAGCGGTAACGACTCTATCGTTTCCCTCCTGTCTCATTCATCGAGTGTCGATTCTCACCCACTTGCACTCGACCCGTCCGTCGACTACCAGTACGTAAACCGTACGCACCTCTCGTGGCGATACGTGTCGACGCAAGTGTTGACTTGACCTTCCAACCCCTTCGAACGCAGCCACAAGATACTGTTGCAAGTTTACATTGCACGGCTTTGACTGCGAGTCAACTGCGATCCTTCACGCCCGTACAGTCCCGAGCACAAGGTCAAGTTCCTCTTGACTCCTGACCGGTCTCTAGACGAGCTGTCGGCGCTGGACGCTCAACTTATCATCGCCTTTGCAATGAATGCATCCAGAGCAGACTGCCTCACGAGCCAGAGACAGCCACTTGATCCGTCTGATGGATCGATCAGAAAGACAGGTAGCAGCTACGTGACTGGATCTGCTATCTCGATGCTGATGAACGATCAGTCAGTCCGTAGGTAGTCAGTCAGCTGCTCTTGGCATCCACATGCACACGTTTCGCTCCCTCTTATCGTGAGCCAAGCAATGGACGACCTATCCGGACGTGGAGCGCTCTCCTCAACCTGTCGAGCTCAGGCGTCTAATCACCACCCAGAAACTCGTGGAACCAGACATCTCCTGGTCAAAAACCAGCGACACACTGGACGCTTTCCCAACCCACGACGACCAGCCCCCTGTCTTCGCTCTCCCGTTCCAAGAGCTACAGAGACATTGGCTTATCATGCGCTCCACGTGACCTTGTGCATTGGCCAAGTGGCGGAGTTGTTGCATGTTATAGCGCAGTTGACCGCCACGCAAAACGCACGATTGTAAGGTCGTTAGTAGACAGAATTATACATCAGTTACAGCAAGAGAGGCGTGTTACATCTGATGTTCATCAAGTGGTAATGCTATCGACGTACGCACTTTGTCGTCTCGATTTCGGGCAACGAGATACACCTGCGAGGAGCTGACCCGGAGGAAAGCGGAATCGAGACCACCCGCGTACTTGACCATGACGACTGGACGAACAGCGATGTCGATCGACAAAGGTTGACGGATGAATGGATGTCAAAGAGCACCGACAAGGATCGTGGAGGCGGCTTGTGACAAAACCAGTGAGCGCCACACACCGCCAAGACAACGCACGCGTTCCTACTTCAATACGACAAAGACATTCCGACACTCGCATCCACGTACACTCAGGAGCTCAAGGGGTTCCCAGGCGACTTGTGTCGGTAAGATGTGAACGGTAGACGGCAAGTAGCCCCAAGACGTAGTGGGTATACCGGCGCAGATAGATCATGCGATGGACCAGAGGGACTGATGCCGTATCGCTAACGTGCATCTACATTCAGCACAGACGGCAGTGCTCGCCGAGGCACACTACCACGTCAGGTCTCAGACGATAGCGGGTACGACTTCATCTTGCAGATTACCGGCGCAGGTCTGGGCACAGACGATCAACATGCTCGGACGGGATCCTACGTATGGATACGCTCTCGAGCAGCTCGCTAGCTGCTGCCCATCCATCGGATCCTTGACGCTCCGGGAAGAGAACACGACTGTACGAGCTGAAGGCATGTGACTTGCATCAGGCAGCACGAAGGACTCCTGATCATCAATGTTGGGGACTCTGCGGGAGCGATTGAGAGTCAACGAGCTGCCACCTGTCATCGCCGCGTGGACGAGGTCGAAGATAACGACTGCTCGATCGGCACCGACGGTACCTTTATCCGTGCAAAAGGAGACACCAAGCGCTTGTTCTCGGTACCGCTGAGTAGAGAGGATACGTCTGGACGCGGAAGGGGGAGATGAGGATAGTCTGCGCTACCATCTGCATGCCCGCGACATGGAGTTGGTGGAACTAATGCGTACAGCAGCAGGTACGTGCATCTGCTGATGAATGGGAAACAGAAGTTCAACTGCATCTCCTATGGCGCGTTCGTGCCGTCGCAAGGAACAGCAGTATGGCCGGAATGGGATGGGGACATGCGTCTTTGCAACCCAAACAGATCTTCACGATCGACAGCGGAGCGGCCTTTACAGCAAAGAACGACACAGAGACTGATCGGGAATAGCTAAGGACACGAGTTTCGATGGAGATACTGAACCGCAGGATAAAAACCACGTGAACCAGATGAACAGTTGTCGGTCATCTTTGCCTGATCGCATACGTTGTGAACCGCTTTCCGTGCCTCGTCACTTTGACACGATCTATATTGCACCTGACGTAGGTCCGCTGGACAAGCACTGCGTACTGAATACCATTCTTCGCTATTGCACTCCCTCAATGTATGTTGTCAGACGCATGTAAATGGGGGATGGGATCCATCGAGCATGTCGATGTGCTGACTGCGAGTGTGTCCGAAGTGTTTGCATATGACGTCTCCGTGTAGCGACACAGATTGGCGTTCACCACTCATTTGTGCACTTGTCTTCGTTCGAGTCACATGTGTCAAGACTGCACCGATACGATTTCTTGCCACTGCAACAACAGGTCCTAGCAACGCCCAGGGATTACTCTTCTCGGGCCTCTCGTGATCGCAAAGCTGGCCGGGCAGAACGAGTGTCGTGCTTACGACAAAGAAGAGCTTTTCGTTCCTCTCTGTTGAGCACTTGTAACCCCTTGAGATCAACTCTTGACTCGACTGCATCCTACACGTCGGATTTGAACCTGTTGCAGCCATTGTGTGAGTGACCCGGTGAGCTTGACGGCAACAACGAGGGTCGACAATGCAGGACCCTCATCTGTGGCGAGCAAGAAGTGGATCCGATGTCGACCAGCAGCTTCGTCGCGCATGGCATCTCTTATACTGCAAGAGCGTCCGCAAAACGGCAAAGACAGGAAGTGCTGTAACGACAGCGATACTGCGATGATGAGAAGCTGACATTGTCGGAAGCGTGTCGTACAATCTTGTGAGCTGATCGCTTGCATGGTAAGTCACTTGTTTTGCTACAAGGTTCCATTCACACATCACACAGCTTTATGACGTTCGCACCTCCTCTAATTGGCATTTGGATGCAACCCAAGCACAGTCGGCAGCTTTTGCCAGACGTGTGAGTTGGTTGTACATGTGTCAGGTACTTCGAAGTTGATACACGGCGACATGTATGAGGTGTCATTCCAGGCAATGTTGACGGTATTTAGTGCCTGACGAGACAAACGCGGTGTCGTTTCCTGGAATAAGTGACACTCGCCATCTCGCTGTGCAAATGACCCAAGACACGTGTATCATCACGACAAATTCAGTTTGCAGCACTTTCGTCTGTGGGAGAAGATGCGAAATGCACGCTCTCCGAGGTATGTTAATTTGCGTCACTTCCAAGGAGTTGTCACGATGCATATACAATTCATCCCCTCATCGTATGCCAACGCATACCACTCATCTTGTCCTTCGCACACTTGCCCTTTCGAGCTCCGTTGTACAACCCCTGATCCGACAGTGCTCTACGCTTCGAGCAACGACTGCTATTCACGATGCAGCAGACAAAGGCTAGCCATACATCCATCACTTTGCTGGTGCAGTAGTGCGAGCACTGATGCAAAAGACTGTGTGCGGGGGAAACTTACTTTCTTGCGTGTACTAATCCAGCTGACAGAATCAACTCCACGCGGCTTACTGGTAACGGATTCGGGCAAGCTCGTGTCGGGCATCTCGTAGACAAAGACGCAGCGGGCAAGGTGCTTATCGTTGAGCTAGTGCACTCTTGTCGAGTGAAAAGCGCATTCGCAGCATGAACAATCCCGACAATCCCAGCTCTTTTGCAACGATGTCGGCTGGCCACGTCGCGCTTGATCTCGTAGTTAGTCGTAGCCGTCTGTAGCTTTTGACGTCGACAGGCTCTTCAGTCGACGTCAACTCTCGGCCCTTCTAACTTTGCCGTCTCCGCAGACAGGATGTTGCTCGGTCTCCATTTCAGTCGGCGACATGTTTTGTATGACTTAACAAGCAGATACGGTGTCCTGCGTAGCTCACAACCAGCGCTTCGGATGCATCAACTCATGTCCTGCCCGACGGGCTCCAATATGCTGATCGACCGTCTAGCGCAGCAATCTCATCACCGAAGCACCGTATCGTCCTCACTTTTTCTAGCGCTTTGCACACCGAGTCACACGTCATCGCTCCCTAAGTGCAAAGGTCCGGTCAGATCCATACATTGTCCTTTTCCGCTTCCATAGCTTCGGTCGTTTTCGAGATCTGCATTGGCACACAGTTCTAATGTGACGCTATCGCCAAACGATACGATTGCAGATCTTCTTTGCTTCAACATTCCCGCTTGCTGACAACAACGGATTTGACTTCAATGTACTAACAGGTGGCAGCACTCGTCGTCACCGAAGCAGCAAGAAGCTCGTGGTGGAGCTAGGAACTCGTTCTGCGCTAACTCCCATCACTTTTCACTGCATGTATAGTCATGCCTTCACCTTGTTCATGCATCTCATGCCAGTCACGTGCTGAGCTTTCCATGCAAAAAGGTGTCCAGTCAATCCACCGCATACGCTCATCGCATAGCAAACAGCGAACATATATCACGCCACACCTACGATCACTTCTTGTGCACACTCCATCACGTATCGTGCTCTCCATCGCTGTCCTACAATGGCGGTACTGGCTGGTACAAACTGGCCGCCTGAAACTTGAGCACCTGCAAACAAATCGAAAGCTCGCCGTTAGCCACTTACAGGGTGCAACTCGCTCACCAAAAGACGCACCTCGTTGCCGACGCTGGTCCAATTCGACCGCAACTCGCGGGCAAACAATTCGACTTTCTTGTCGCTCTCAGCGACCATATCATTGTCAAAGAAGCTCTCTGGAGGTGGTTTCCACGAGTGTCGCAATGGTATGCTCAAGACAATCCGTGTCTGTGTGCCAAGGCGTTTGCGCAGCAGCTGTTCGTGCTCGACGTCCTGGCCACGATAGGCCACGACCAACGTCTCAACCGGCAAGCGGTGCGTCGAGTCCAGTGGCACCACTAGTTCCCCATTTGTGCCAAGCTTGAGCCAGTACCAACACGCGTGAAACGTAAAGCCCCACGACGGCAGAGCTTGTTCGCGGAGGTACGTCATGTACCGCGGTCGATTGGTCACCCAAATGGCCAGAATGCACTCGACCGAGTCGGCCAGACGCGGTACATCGACACGCACGAGCTCTGTGTGGTCGAACGTGTGGTACCGCTTTCCACGGGCCACGCTCTTGTTGTGCCACGGCGGGTCCAGCACGACCAACTTGTACCGCTCCAGGAGCTCAATACAGCCGAGTTCCCGCACGTCGCGCTGGGCAAAGCTCGATCCAGCTGGCACGAGGACCTGCACGCCGTCCACTGTTGCAACGTGCAGACGATCCGTTCGGTTGCAATGCAATTGGCCGTCGTCCAGTACGGTCCGAAGGAACAGCTCTGGTAACGAGTGCACGACATCGTCTGCAGGTGGTGCACCTGATACCGCAACGCAATTGGCAACGAACGACGGGACAAACGCCCGCAAGTCGAAGCGCTTGCGACCGAAGTGAGCGACTGCGCGCTCGAGTGCCTCTCGCACAACGGCCGGCAACGGGACAAACTTTCCCTCTGCTCGGAGTGTGTCCAGTCGTTCGGCTCGACGGCGACGTGCCGTCGCTCGCTGCCGTTGCCGTCGAGCGGACGCGGACGTGGACAGTGACGTTGGAGCACGAGGCGGTGGGGTGTAGGCACCGCGCGGGAGCTGCACGGAGTCGGCTCGTAGACGGAGCAGTCCTTGGTAGTAGCTGTTCACGAGGGCCATCTGGTTGACGCACGAGACGGTGGGCTCCATGGTAGTGGGTTTTGGTTACTTTGGCGTTACTTCAGCACGACCCTCACCTGCTTCGCCCCGTTCTCACAACGTTAGTGGCACCACATCTGGAACGGTCGTTCGACGAATTCAGACTGCAAAAGTGTTTTTTTTTCCGAATAATAATAATAAACTGACGGAGAGTACGAAAAAACGCGAGATATGACATGACAACGTGTTTGCGAATGTAGGAAAGTGGGAAGCGACAGTTGTTGGAAGAGGGAACGGAGGCTTTGACTGTAGATATATCGTCTACGTTGAAGCCGCTGGTATGCACACTTGGCCTTGCAGAAACTATAGGTGCAAGCGGTGCTGCTAACAATCCACTCGACGTAGCTGGTGGGTGGGGTACCACGGCATGCAACAGGAAGTACGCGACCGCATTGAGGTTGTTTGGTGCTTGGTGTGCACTTCTCGTGTACACGGTCGAGAACACAAACGATGCTGAGTACGTCCGTACGGATCTCTTTGACTAGTGCACGCACTCCCTCCTCGACCTGCTCAGGTGTCGAAGTGGTTCTCCGATGTCTCGTGAGAGGCTGCACTACACTACACTCGACGTGTCCCTACTACTTGACATGTCTACTGAGAGACTTTAGCTTGCTCGACAACATTGCTGCTGCCGACATCTACCAGAAGAGATGGATACACACGCTGAAGCATCTCTCGTGTATGTTGTTGTCCCAAAGATTCGGCTTCTACTGCCCACGGGAAAGGAACGGTGAGAATTTGACACTTTGGTTGAACGCTACGGACCATACAACCGCTCACACACACATACACTCGCTACTGATTGCAAAGGCTCAGGTAATGAGATTCCACTATACGTTTTCTTCAAGCCGTGGGGACACTACATCCCCACTGCATCTCAGATGTCCCTATAGCATTCGTCACTGCCTTTCATTCGTCTACTCGCGATGAACCGAAAGAAATACAAAGGGGCCGTCTCAGTGATCTTGGTGATATATACATGTCGTCACAATACTCGAAAGCATATCAAGAGTAGCAAATATTTTGATACATCATCGACAGAACAATACCCCACACACATACATTCCTACACACTACAACACGTCTGCCTGGTCTCATCATACAAATGCCTCGAAATGTTCATCACATTAGGAGTTCGAGTCGTCTCGGAGCACGGCAGAACGCAATGCAATAAGACACTCGGCGTCCTCAGACTCGTCATCTGTTGTGTAATCACCTGAGATACCACTGGTAAGAAATTCGCGCGCTGGTTGTTGACCGGTCGATAGTTGTTGGCCAGTCGTAGTGGTACAGCGGTCGATGCTCTGTTCCCACACTGACTGACGCAGGTGAGTTGGATAATGCTCTTCCTGGGGACGACAACACAGGCAGAGTCGATCGGTTGGCTGGGGGGTTGTCAAGGTCAAAAGTCACCGTGAAACGCGTAATTACGCGCTTTTGTTTGCGATTAACTGTCATCGATTTAGTCACAGCTCGTATAAACTCATAAAACAACCCGAAAGTAGCTTGCTGAATAAAAATGACCAGCTCCTACGAGTCAATTGATGCGCTCGTACTGTAGCAGCAACTTGTTGCTGCTCGTTGTTGCTGCTGGTGGTGCAGATTGTGCCTACATTATAGCACACTATATTGAGCACTTGCATCGAAAGTAAGAAAATACGATCGTTCGTATCCGAATGGCGTGGCAGCGACGTCTTCAAGGACGGAATAATGAGTGTACGTTGACTATCCACACACGCCATTGACAACGGCGCGCACGGGAAGGAGCTGATTATCAAGCGACAACATTGTGTGAATGTTCAATGTAATACCGACTCATGCGTGTACAAGTGCCGTTTCGTCGGGTTCCTATCGACCAATGCTGGTTTGTATGACAAGGCTACTTGTGCAGCGCTAGACAAAGCAGGCAATGAAAGAGCGCCTAGCCTAACTTGCGATTACGCGAGGTCAATGTGACTTTGCCTGCCTAAGTGCTCTGAAGATACTGGAAACCGCTGCATACGACATCGCGCTGTCGTAGTGTCGAATCTGTAGAACCCGCTCAATGACTTTTGGTGCTAGAGTCTGCAGTCGATACTACCTCGGCTGAATGCATCACGACCGACTTGGCATCCTATACATTGCCCACCTGCCGAACACCAGCAGTTTATGCTCATCTGATTGAACTATGGGTCATTCGCTAGGGACCAGCAGCACATGGGATCGACAGATATGGTCGTTCGAGTCCATTACCACTATCAGTTTACACGGACGAGTAGAGAGTCATGGACAGAAGAGTGTACCCATCGCTTTTGAACCCACTGCATCCCCCGTTTGTCATCAGCGTCAATATTGACCAATCAAAAGCTCTCACACGTTTCACAAGCACTTGTTGATCGATCGCCGGCAGCCCGACCATGACGGACGCGGATGTGTATGCGTACGAGCACGAGCTCGACGAGGCCGACGAGTGGGAGGCCGCACATGCACTTGACATTGAAGCCGCTGAAGAGGAGATGCATGCGATGAGGTTTTTCGAGAAGTGTGAAGCCGGAGAGAGTCAGCAAGAGAAGTCTGCTGGAGGTGCGGTCGATGGTCAACCTCTGGATAGGGATCCCGAGGCCGACAACGTGGGAGATGGACTGGCGATACCGCCACAGCGTCGATTGGATCAGTTGCTGGCACGATGTGAGACGCTTTTGGGCGAGGGCAAAAGAGATCAAGACGTGGTCAGAGCGTCTCGACTCGTGGAGGACATGGAGGTCTGTCCGAAGCGTGGGACTTCTGCTTCGAGCAAGGACACAGCTACAGCCGCGTATCTGCACAACCGCCCACCTATTGATGTGGACTCGCTGTCTGTGGTGCTGGGCGATGGCAAGCGGTTGTTTTTGCGCAAGAAACGACCGAGAACTACGACTGCTGCTTCTAGTAGCTCGACTCGAGCGACGACAGCGTCTCTTGTTCCTATTCGAGAAATGATGGAAGCTGTTGAGAGGGTGTGCTATGCTTGATACTATTTGCTGTGAGGATGACTGGATGCTGTGGTATTGATGACGTGTTTGTGCGCTGCATGCGTGTGTGAACGCAGATGGAGATCAAGGAAGCAGCTTTGAAAGAGGACGAGGCTTTGCTGCAGGAGCATGAAGAAGCGTGCAACGACTACTGTAACATGTCAAACACTGTTTTGTGGCTGGACAAGTACCGGCCAAAGAGCTTTTTGGACCTATTGAGCGACGAGCGAACGAACCGCGAGGTCCTCACTTGGATCAAATCGTGGGATCAATACGTGTTCCCGAAGAAGGGGCGTGTGAATGGTGCACCATCAGTACCCGCTACGACACACACCTATCGTAACTCGTGGCACCACGCCAGTACACACGCGCACACTAGTAGCAGTGACGGGGTCGAGAACGAGGAGGATAAGCGACCGTTCCACAAGATCATTCTCATTTGCGGTCCGCCTGGAGCGGGTAAAACAACGCTGGCCAACATTGTTGCGCACCACGCTGGCTACAATCCTCTCGAAGTGAATGCCAGTGATGACCGTACGGCATCCGTATTGCGCAACAAGATCATTAGTGCTATGGAAATGCAATCCATCTGGGGCGATCGTAAACCCAATTGCATCATCCTTGACGAAATTGACGGTGCCATGAACGGCAGCGACGGCAAGTCGGCCATCGAGGTCATCCAAGAGATTGTGGATGCTCCTCTGGTAAAGAAGAAAGGAGGCACAAAGACGTCCGCTAAGAATCGTCATCCGCTGACCCGTCCCCTCATCTGTATCTGCAATGACTTGTACGCTTCGGTGTTGCGTCCACTGCGTCGAATGGCGAAGGTTTTCACACTGGATGCACCGCATCCGCAACGTCTCGTTACGCGCTTAAAGCAAATTTGTCGTCATGAGGGAATCAAAGCTTCCACTGGCGCGCTAGCAAGTCTTTGCTCCAGCGCTGGCAACGATATTCGCTATTGCTTGAACACGCTACAGTTCCAAAGCACTCAGTCGCGTGAAGCTGCGGTGAACAAATCGACCCCCGTTGTGGCATTCAGCTGTGGCGTGATTGCGCAAAAAGACCATGCGCATGGCATGTTTGAGGCGCTGGATCTTGTGTTCTACGAAGCGCGGTCGAAGTCAGCGAAAGGACAGCTCCCTGCTGCTGAGAAGATAACGTCAGCTGTTTTGTCGCTGGGTAATTCGTCCTTATTGCTAAACGGTTTGGACGAGAACGTCCCCAAAATGATCTTTAACGACCCCACCATGACCAAGATTTGCGATGTTTTCGAGTGGCTAGGACTTGCGGATGAGTACGAGAGCCGCGCCCACGCAGAGCAGCAGTACGTGTTTCAATCATACATTCCGTTTGCTGCCATCGCGACGCACGCGTCTTGCTGCACAAGCTCTAGACGTCGTGTGGAGTACCCTCGTACTCAATTCGAAGCCAAAAAGCGGAGCGATCGCGCCGAGAGCATCCTTGGGGCACTGGTAGAAGGAGCACAGTTGCAGCCCGTTCTGCGGTTGGGCACCAGTGACCTCGTCGTTGATGTCGTGCCGTGGCTGGTTGCGAGTTTGTCGCCCAGTCTTCGCCGCACCAACCCGTCACTGCAGACAAAGGAGGAAAAGGTCATGATCCAGCGACTCATCCAGCTAATGGCGTCGCTGGGACTGTCGTTCCAGCACAAGTACTTGCCCGATGGAAGCGAGGATTACGCACTTGAACCGTACGTGTTGGTGGATCGCATTTGCTAAGCTTGACATCTCCTCTAATGATTCTATCGATCTGCATTTGGACAGACCACTGAACGAACTCGTGGAGTTTCGAAGCGATGAGGGCAATGCAGCGTACCGACCCGTGCTTCCACTGACTGTGCGAAAGATGATTGCTCGAGAAGTGGAGCTGGAGCAGATGCGTCGGAATGAAGCCACGGCTTCGTTGAGGCGAAAGGGTAGCAGCAAGGTGATGAGCGAGGTGGCTCGCGAATCGAGCGACGCAACTATCGAAGAGAAGGCTGCCAAGATCACCTACGCTCTACCGGAACTCAGCGGTACGTGTTGCCCTCTGCTTGATCTCTGCGTGAGTTCTGTGTTGCTAATACTAACCTCGACACGGATGGGTGCCGAACAACAGAGGTAGAGCAGGCAAAGAAGAACGAGGCTTTGCGCAAGCGGAACCCCTTCGCATTCGCCCATCGAGAAGCGAAACGCAAGCGCGACAAGGAGCTGGATGCAAAGCTGAAGCGGCAGCACACAGCGGCTGCGAACGTGCACTCGATGGTGCGCTACAAGTACAACGAAGGCTACACGTGCGGCATCAAGACAACAGTGTACGTCCGCGATTTGTTATAAATGCACGGACTGACCAATTTGCCGGCCGATGGGAGTCGATGAAGACCCAGCACTGCCGTGCGAGTGCGCGCGTACGTTATCGATGGCACACACGTGTGCGTGTATCCATTCTCGCTTCCCTGTGAGTCAAGATCCACATCAGCTACCAAGACACGCTACTGCTTGGCTGCTTTCTTCTTCTTCTTCTTCTTTTGCTTCGTCTTCGTCGTCTTGCTCGCTTGACCCGCAGGCGCCAGTGTATCCGCAAGCGTCGACGAGGGAGAGACCGGTCCTGTCATTGGTCTCACTGGCAGTGTCGTCATTGTCCCCAGCACCTCTTGCATGACGAAGCGAAGCAGCCGCGTCAGGCGGGACAAGTTGGCCATGTCCGACGTGACGTACTTGACCGCCTCATTGCGTCCCGCAGCACTCGACGACGACGTAGCGGTTGTGTACTGATGCGACACGCGCGCCGTCAGTTTGACGTGTCCCGCAGCTGCCACGCGCGTCTTGAAGAAGAAACGCGAGCGCAGTGGGTCCCCCACGAACGCGAGTTTGGTCTGCTCTTCGAAGCGCTCCCAGACGACATTCCCATTGCTCGCCATTGTAGCTATTCGTCGACTGGGCAGCTCCGGTGGGCGATTTGCGGCTTGTGATTGGTCGCTTTGTAGCTGCGACAGTCGTGGACGGCGCGTGAAGCCATTGATTGGGGTTGAGGATGATGAATACACTCGCTGACTGTATTGGACGCATGCAGGTACCACGTGGGACGAGGTGCTTGCAAGCACGCAAGTGGTTGTCGTAAGCCGTACGTACTTACCGATCGTGAGGATTAAGTGACGTGGAAGTGCTAGTGCTATGTGGGGCAAAGCGCGACTCGGTTACCGATTTAGCGCTAGAGCTGGTGGAGGGAGAACGGATAAATGTTTGTAGGAAAAGCAGAGCACGAAGCTGCAGCTGCGGATCTGAACGTGACGATTTAGTGGCATGGGCGCGTGGTGGTAACTCAAGACGACGCACAAGAGAGCTGTCGATGCAGTTTTCTACTACCGCCAGCTCGTCTGTTTGTAGGGATACTTGAAGAGCATTACGATCGGACTCTTCATCGCGTCCTGCCAACTGCATTGTCGTTTGTTCTGGAATCGGGTGTGAACGTGCGAACGCAATACGTGCAAGTTCAGGTGCGCAGCGTTACTTGTAGCACCTCATGCTGCCAACGCGGGAGCTAATGACTGTGGTTTGTCGTCGCCAGAGCAAGCGAGTAACAACGATACAGCTGACGTCGGCAAAGCTTTGGTCAATCGACACGATTTGCCTCTTCATGCTTCGCCGTTGCTGCTTTTCTCAGGACGTTGTAGATATGGGAGCGAGGCCCAAAGTGCACGTAGATCCGCAGAGACAAGCACACCTTGTCGAGAGATACACAGTCGGTGTATGTTGTTGGAACCCAAAGCAGCACTCACGTAGGGTTGCAGACACAGCGAATGTGTGTGTGACTGAATGACTCAGGCAGGACATTGCACAAACCGATTGATACAGCCGCCGTCTCTCTTTCCTCTGATCGCTCAGTTTAACACGATAGCAGCACTACCGAGTACCTTCAACACGCATTAACCACAACGACACTTGTGGTCATTGCACCTCACAACGCACAACTCGCATCCACCCGCAACTTCCCATCATCCAAAACGGGTACGCAGATGCCCGAAACATTATCCAGTGTCCTGCACTGGAGGATCACTGATGTCAATGGGCGAGCCACAAAGCTTCTTTTCCATCGCACGTCCTGCAATGCAGACTGCAGCGCTAGATGCGTACAGCTAAGGCGAAAATGTGCAGGAAAGTGTGCTGTCACGGTCGGTACACGATCAAACGACCGGAACACCTCGCGTCGTGCTGCTGCAATGAATGAAAAAGCAATACTGCCGAATGCATATGTGATGGCGGCCTCCACGGAACGAACAACAAGGAAGCAAGACGCTTCTGGCCAGAGGTGTCAGAGGAAGGTATGGATATGGTCAACTGCACTCGTTAGTCATCGCCCAAGTCTTTGGGATACGCTGAGTGAGTGAGGACGGGATCCCTTCGTCCATTGAGAATGTAGGTAAGCATTGTTGCTGATCACTGACATTGACAGCTGTAGGATCTGACTGAAAGCGGCTCTAAGAAAAGAGAGCGTACAAGGACGACGACAGCTGGCACACTACTCGTCTTGCTACATACACCGCAGCAAAAACTTGGCCGCACGTGGCTACACAAGCACGACAAGGAACGGGAAAACACACTGGCAATTCCGACGCGTACACAGTGCTCATGCACATTTTGCACGCCGGCAGACACGGCAGCTATTCAAGTGCACCCGAGGAACATGTACTCGGTTGCCAGTCTGACGAGGTGCCAGCATAAGCATAAGCATGGGAGCGACCGTGGCATATATTGACTCATGTACTGGGCCTGTGTTTGCTTCACTAGCTTGTGAAAACACCGATATTGACTGAGGTTCCTACTTGCAGAGCATATACATCTGACCCACTTCTTCGAACGGGTTAATCAATCAATTGCGGTACGACTGACAAGTTCTACTATGACGCAAAGCCACGACAAACGCCACTCGGACAAGCAGAAGACAATCAGCACGTAAAACTGCTCCCTCTACACAACAACAACAACATTTCGCCTTCTCTTTTTGACGTCTGAAAGCGAAAACAGTGGGTCATCCGCTGTCCTCCAGCACTACATACGCCTACATGTAACCGGACAGCCCCGGAATTCCGGATACGCTCCTTCCACCCAATCAACGCTCGAGCTGATGCGCTATCTTCGCCAATCGTCGCGTCCCCCGAACCCTTTTCGACCAAGAAACTCCCCCCTCCTCTCCCCAGTCCTCTCACTTGCGAACTCGCCACCTCGTGAACACCCGCACGTCGTGACCTTTTCGCTCGCCGAGTGTCAGTCAGTCGGTTTACCCGCCCGACTTATAGCCATTGGCAGAGAGAGAGAGCGAGAGAGAGAGGCACACACTCGTTTCCCCACTTGACGCCGATCTCTTCCGTCCCCTTTTTCCCCTTTGCACCAACAGCACTACGAGACGTGTGTAGCAGTCGGCCGCCCCACATGTCGTCCACGCAATTCTCGTACTCGAGCGCGCGGCTGCGGCGCGTGAAGTACCTCCAGTTCGGTGTCTTTAGCCCCGAAGAGATCCGCGCGATGTCAGTGACGAAACAGACCAAAGTCAACGACCGCATCATCCCCGACGGCATCTCGCGGCCCGAAACGTACTTAAACGGACACCCCGTGATCGGCGGCATTGGCGACCCGCGCATGGGCACGTGCGACTTTCGCGCGCGCTGTAAAACCTGCGACTGTACGTTGTTCGATACTGGACCCAAGCGACGATTTGTGGCGATGGGCACATGACTGTGTCGAGGCTGACGCTGTTGCTCTTCTGGCTCTGCTTTGTGTGCTGTTACTCTCTCTATCTATCTGTAGGTACGTACAGCGGCAGTGGGGGCAAAGTGAACGACTGTCCAGGCCACTTTGGCCACATTGAGCTGGCCCGTCCCATGTTCCACATGGGCTTTATGAAAGAAGTGCTCAAGATCCTGCGGTCGGTGTGTTTCCATTGCTCGAAAGTGCTGAGCGACGAGCGCGACCACCGCTTCCGGTCGGCGATGAAGATCAAGAACGGCAAGCGCCGGCTCAAGGCCGTGTACGAGTTTTGCAGCAACAAGAGCATGTGCGAGTACGGCGAAGAAGCGGATATGGAGAAGATGCGCGAGGATTTGAACATTGGTCTGCAAGGCGGACTGGACGACAAGTCCAAGCCAAAGGAAGGCGGGCATGGCGGCTGTGGTGGTCTCCAGCCAAAGTACCGCAAACAAGGCATCAAACTGATGGTCGAGTTTCCCGAACAGATGGAAGACGTGCCGGGGTCGGGAGACCGCAAGCAGAACTTGCCGGCCGCGAAAGTGATGTCGATCTTCAAGAACATCTCGGACCAAGACTGCTATGCACTCGGGCTGGACCCGCGCTGGGCTCGTCCAGACTGGCTCGTGATGACTTTGATGCCTGTGCCGCCTCCGCACGTTCGTCCGTCTGTAGCGATAGACGGCATGGCGCGCGGTGAGGATGACCTGACACACAACTTGGCCTCGATCGTGAAGGCGAATTTGGCGTTGCTGAATTGTGTACGGAAGGGCGAGCCATCTCACATTATCGAGCAGTTTGAGCAGCTGCTGCAGTTCCACTTGGCGACCTTCTTGAACAACGAACAACCGGGCCTTCCGCAAGCTCAGCAGCGGTCCGGCAAACCGCTGAAGACGCTGCGACAACGCTTGCGTGGTAAAGAAGGACGTATTCGAGGTAATTTGATGGGCAAGCGTGTCGATTTCTCGGCGCGTACGGTCATTACCGCTGACCCGAACATTGCGATCGACCAAGTGGGCGTTCCCCGGTCAATTGCAATGAATTTGACTGTACCGGAGCGCGTGACGCCGTTCAACATGAATTACATGCACCAACTGATTGCTAACGGTCCGCTGGAACATCCAGGAGCTAAATACATCATTCGCGAGGACGGTAATCGTATCGATTTGCGATACATAAAGAACAAGTCGGATCTCGCACTGAAGTGCGGTTGGATCGTCGAGCGTCACCTTCGTGACGACGATCTCGTGCTGTTCAATCGTCAGCCTTCTTTGCACAAAATGTCGATCATGTCGCACCGCGTGAAGGTGTTTGACTGGTCGACGTTTCGTCTAAACCTCTCCGTGACGTCTCCGTACAATGCCGATTTCGACGGTGATGAGATGAACTTGCACGTGCCTCAGTCCATGACTGCACGTGCTGACGCGCAAGAGCTGATGATGGTGCACAAAGTGATCATCACACCCCAGAGCAACCGCCCTGTCATGGGTATTGTGCAAGATTCGTTGCTGGGTGCGCAAAAGTTTACGAAGCGAGATATATTTGTGAGCAAGGATTGGGTAATGAACATGCTAATGTGGGTGTCCAACTGGGACGGCAAGGTGCCAACACCGGCCATTCTGGTGCCGAAGAAGGGCGAGTTGGGCAAGTACACTCCCATCTGGACTGGCAAGCAGCTCTTTTCTACGATTATTCCGGCGGTGAACTTCACGGGGTTTTCGTCCACACACAAAAGCAGCGAGAAGTTTTCAGAGCTGTCACCAATTGATTCTCGCGTGATCATTCAGCAGGGCGAGCTGTTAGCAGGCATCATTGACAAGAAGATTATCGGTTCATCAGCAGGTGGTTTGATTCACATCACGATGCTTGAGAAGGGCCCTGAAGAAACGAAGCGCCTGCTCGGTGCCATTCAGCAGCTCGTGAACTGCTGGCTGGCCGGTCGTAGTTTCACTGTTGGTGTGAGCGACACGATTGCTGATGTGTCTACGCTCAAGACCATCGTCGATATCATTACGCAAGCCAAGGTGCAGGTGCACGATTTGGTCGTGCGTGGTCAAAAGGGGAAACTAGAGACTCAGCCTGGTCGAACAATGGTCGAGTCGTTTGAAGGTCTGGTGAACATCGTGCTGAACACTGCCCGTGACCAGGCCGGTCGCGAAGCGCAAGGTAGTCTAGATGAGACGAACAACATTAAGGCTACGGTGACGTCTGGTTCGAAGGGTTCGTTCATCAACATTTCGCAGATTATTGCCTGTGTGGGCCAGCAGAATGTCGAGGGAAAGCGTATTCCGTATGGGTTCAACCACCGCACGTTGCCGCACTACGGGAAAGACGACTTGGGACCTGAGAGTCGTGGCTTCGTGGAGAACTCGTACCTGAAGGGTTTGACACCACAGGAGTTCTTTTTCCACGCCATGGGTGGTCGCGAAGGTTTGATTGATACTGCTGTGAAGACTGCCGAGACCGGCTACATCCAGCGGCGACTCGTGAAGGCAATGGAGTCGGTTATGACGAGATACGATGGCACAGTCCGTAACGCACAAGGCGAGATTATCCAGTTTCTGTACGGCGAGGACGGTATGGACGCCGTGTGGGTCGAGAAGCAGCGTTTTGAGTCGCACAAATTGAACAAGGTGCAGTTTGAGAAGAAGTACGTGTTTGATCCGTCCGACGAGTACCTGGGTTGCATGCCAAATTGTCCCGATCAGCTGTACCTGGAGCCCGATATCATCAAGGACATCCGCACGAACCAGCGGACACAGCAACTGTTGAGAGAAGAGCAGGTGCAGCTGCAGAAAGACCGCGTGAACCTCCGTGTCATTCTGGCAAGTCGCGGTCAGGGACAGGAGTCGGACAACGCCGCTCAGATTCCTGTGAACATCCGCCGTCTAGTCGAGAACGCGCAGCAGTTGTTCAGTATTGACGTACGGAAGCCGTCTAGCCTTCACCCGTCGCGTATCATTGAGGGTGTGAAGGACTTGTGCAAGAAGATCATAGTCGTGCAGGGTGAGGATCAGCTGAGTGTTGAGGCCCAGGAGAACGCAACGCTGTTTTTCCAGATTTTGCTGCGATCGACGCTGGCGTCAAAGTGCGTCACACTCGAGCACCACCTGACCGAGACGGCGTTCGAATGGCTGATGGGCGAGATCGAATCCAAGTTCACGAGCGCGTTGGTGTCCGCCGGAGAGATGGCAGGTGTCGTTGGTGCGCAGTCTATCGGAGAGCCTGCAACGCAAATGACCCTGAACACGTTCCACTACGCCGGTGTGTCCGCCAAGAACGTGACGCTCGGTGTGCCTCGCTTGAAAGAGATTATGAACATTGCAAAGGTCGTGCGGACGCCGTCGCTACGCATTTTTCTGACACCAGACTGCGCACACGATGCGGACAAAGCCAAGTTTATTCAGTCGCAACTAGAATACACGACCTTGGCGGACGTGACGGCCAACACTTCGATCTACTACGACCCGGACCCGATGAATACGGTGGTCGAGGAGGACCAGGAGTTTGTGGCTTCGTATTACGAGATGCCTGACGAAGACACCCCGATCGCTCGCTCCCCGTGGCTTTTGCGCATCGAGTTGAACCCGAAGATGATGGCGGACAAGAAGTTGACGATGAGTGAAATTGCTTCTCAAGTTGAAGCGGAGTACGGCCAAGACCTGATGTGCATCTTTACTGACGACAACGCTGATCGCTTGGTGCTGCGCATTCGCATTATGAGTGACGAAGAGGAGAAGCTACAACGGTCAGGCGAGACGGCAGTCGGACAGGAAGACGACACGTTTTTGAAGCGTGTAGAGCACAATATGCTGACGCAGATGAAGTTGCGCGGCATTGAGGGTGTGAAGAAGGTGTACATTCGCGAAGGTCCGTCGACGCACTGGTTTGACGACGTCGGGTTCAAGATGATGAACGAGTGGATGCTCGACACGGATGGTACAAATCTTCTCGATGTAATGTGTTACCCACAAGTGGACTCGACGCGGACGATATCGAATGACATTGTAGAAATCATCCAGGTGCTGGGCATCGAGGCTGTTCGCCGAGCACTGTTGAACGAGATTCGGCAAGTGATTTCCTTCGATGGCGCGTACGTCAACTACCGGCATTTGGCTTGTCTGTGTGATGTGATGACTTTCCGTGGTCACCTCATGGCCATTACCCGTCATGGTATCAACCGCGATGACTCGGGTCCGCTCGTCCGCTGTTCGTTTGAGGAGACGGTGGAAATCCTGATGGATGCCGCAATGTTTTCGGAGGGAGACCCGCTGACGGGTGTATCGGAGAATGTGATGCTCGGACAGCTGGCGCCGCTCGGTACGGGTATCATGGATTTGGTGCTCGATGCGAAGAAGCTTGCGAACGCGATCGAGTACGAGGCATCGGAGATCCAGCAGGTGATGCAGGGTCTGGACAACGAATGGAGAAGCCCCGACCAGGGCCCGGGCACACCCATGGCGACCCCGTTCGCATCGACGCCCGGTTTCTCAGCGTCGTCTCCATTCAGCCCCGGTGGTGGATCGTTTTCACCAGCAGCTGGTGCGTTTTCGCCCATGGCAAGCCCAGCGTCTCCTGGCTTTATGGTGGGCTCACCAGCACACAGTCCTGCGTCCCCGCTGAACCCGGCGTCTCCTGCTTACAGCCCGATGTCTCCGGCTTACAGCCCAACGTCTCCAGCGTATAGTCCGACCAGTCCAGCGTACAGCCCGACATCGCCGGCGTACTCGCCGACGTCCCCGGCGTACAGTCCGACATCACCAGCGTATTCCCCGACATCGCCGGCGTATAGTCCGACATCACCAGCCTACAGTCCGACGTCCCCGGCATACAGTCCGACGTCCCCAGCGTACAGTCCGACGTCGCCTGCATACAGCCCGACGTCCCCAGCGTACAGCCCGACGTCGCCCGCGTACTCGCCGACGTCGCCTGCGTACAGCCCGACGTCGCCAGCGTACAGCCCGACTTCACCGGCGTACAGCCCGACGTCGCCTGCGTACAGTCCGACCAGTCCAGCTTACAGCCCGACCTCCCCGGCTTACACTCCGGCGTATTCGCCGACATCGCCAGCGTACAGCCCCACGTCACCGGCCTACTCGCCGACGTCCCCGGCGTACTCGCCGACGTCGCCCGCGTACTCGCCGACATCGCCCGCGTACTCGCCGACATCGCCCGCGTACTCGCCGACATCGCCCGCGTACAGTCCGACATCGCCGGCGTACTCGCCGACGTCTCCCGCGTACAGTCCGACGTCGCCGAGCTACAGTCCCGCGTCTCCAGAGTACAATCCGATGGAAGGCTACAACCCGACCGCAAGTGGCTACAGCCCGACCGATGGTGACGAGAAGAGGGACGGAGACGACGCGTAGTGCCCACGTCGAGCGCGTCTGCAGCAGAAAGGAATGGCGTGGAAGGCAATGCAGAAGAGCGGGACGTGGCAAGCGAGTCGCAAGTGTGAAGGAACGAGATAGAAGACGATGAGGACCTCTTCCGAGCACGCGCTTGGCAGCTTGTCATGCATGTGGAGGTACGATAGTCGACACGAGGGACAACCAAACAAAGAGCATTGATATATTTTGGGGTCTTGCGCTCTCGTACACTCTCACTTGGCATAGGAAGTCGATCGAGCAGCTTCCACACGTCCCTTCGTACACGAACTCTCTGCACTTCGCATCACTACTCATTGAGCGCAATGAGCGCCATGAGTCCAATGCCCGCACACATGGCGGCTGCCTCTTTCAGCGACTGAGCGAGGGAGCAGTCCGCCAACAGCTCCGGCATGACGCTCGCACAGGCAATGTAGATGAAGCCACCAGCAGTGAACGGAGAGATCCACGCAGCATTGGACTCGCCCGCGCCTTCCACGAGCAACCCAATGACCGTGCCAATCATCGCCCCAACAGCCGTCACGAGCTGCGTGGCCATCGCCTCACGTCGCGTAAAGCCTGACTGGATGAGGATCGCAAAGTCGCCAATCTCGTGCGGCAGTTCGTGCAGCAACATGGCCACTGTTGTCGTCCAGCCCTTTCCACGGACAAACGTCGCGCCAATTGCTAAGCCGTCAGTGAAATTGTGCGAAAAGTCTGCCGCCAAGTTGAGGTACGCTGCAGCAGCCACCGGTTTCGACGTCGTCTTCTGCTTCTTCTGCTCCTGCGCTGGCACCACCAGCTCCTTCTCCTCGACAATGTCCGACCCGTCTTTTCCCTCTTTCAACTGCGAGCGCTTTCGCGCGGTCGTGGCCTTCGTCGCGACGGCAGTGCCGTCCTGCACCGACGCCGACGGAGCGTGCGAGTGGCCGTGCGAGTGGCCAGTGCTTGCACCGCTCTGTGCCCGCACAAACTTCTCGAGCAGGAGGAAGCTCAGGATCCCTGCGAGTGTCCACAGCCACACGTACAAGTCCGCCATCGAATGGGTATGCCCATGACCCCCATGGGTATGGTCGTGGGTATGGTTGTGCGTACCCCCTGTTGTCGCCGGGAGGGAGTGGGGCAGCAGATGCAGCAGCGCGTCGCCCAGTAAGCCGCCGGCCGCGAAGCTCAGGAACACGCGCAGGAGCGACTGCTGCGTGTGCGAGTTCCCCGTGCCGAGCGGGACAGCCAGCAAGACGAGCACTGGAGCTGTACCCACGAGGGCAGTCGCGAGCAGCGCTTGGGACCACACTGCGATCGAGAATCGGTCAGCGGGTGTAGGCTGAATGACAGGTTCGTGCTCGTGGGTACGGTCATGGTTATGGTCGTGGTCATGGTTACGGTTATAGTTATGGTTATGGTCGTGGTTATGGTCGTGGGTATGGTCGTGGGTATGGTCGTGGGTATGGTCGTGGTGGGGTCTGCCACGCACTTGTTCGTAGGGCTCTGGCAGTAGGACCGCAGGCGTCGCAGGCAGTTTGCCGGCATCGTCCGCGCTCGAGAGGAGCGTGAGGCTGAGGATGGCTACACTCAGCAGCAGGCCATGACGACGAGGACGACAGCGTCTGCTCATGTTGGATACAGCGCGGACGAGACGCAGTAGGATTGGACGGAAAGCAGGATGTGTTTTGACCAATTACAGTCGATATACGAGCGGCGTTGTGTGATCTGCGAATTGAGATAATCACAATAGAAGTGGACGAGAGCAAGTGCCTGTCAGCAGAGGTTCATCGAGTAGTTCGTTGCGTGGTGTCTTTATTGACAAAAACGCCCGTGACGACTGGATCCGTAGTACTACCTGACCGTCACTGGACACCTCCTCAGCTTTGACTCGATCTCCATTCCATTGAGGGATCTGGAAGTGCACCTCACCTTGCAGCGTCTCCCCTCAACGCGGTGCCGCGCACAAGATCCGATCGTATCGGTGCAGTGGTAACACCTCCACGCAAAGTGGAGACGGACGTGCCACGCGCTGAGCGCTATCCACTCGCCGGCTCGTTGCACATGCCAAATCACAACTGTATCGCTTGCCCGTGTGACCAGTCTGAGTCAGACTTTGCTGTCGCGCGACCACGTTCTCGCTCTCATAAGTCGAACCGCAGAGCCTCTTACTCCCTCCCTCCCTCCCTCCCTCACACACACACACACCGACGCATCCACTTTTCCAGTTCTTTATCCATTAAACGCTACTCACCTCCAGTCACTCACTCACTCAATCGATCCCCAATTCAATCACTTCCTCCATCAGTTGCCTCGACGACGTGCGGTGGAAGCGGATCAGCCGTCTCTTTCTATGTCGCTCGCACCTGCTCAACGTCGGGCAGTAGCGGCTCTCTGTGGATAGCGTAAAAACTTTACAACACGTCGACGCAGAGACAGAAGTGGCTCCCGAGATGTCCCGTGACCGACCAGTGTCATCCCAAGAGAGAGAGAGTCGCGCGACCGAGCAGTCGGAGGTGGTGCAGTGGTAGACGGATCCCCCGGTAGTGCCAGGCGCCGGCCAGGCGCTCGTCCCCTTCTGCTTCTCTCGAGTGCCCATCATCGCACAGGAGCTCGAAACTGTTGCAATGTGGACTTGCAGCGTGGCCCTTGTCCAGCGGACGCGAGCGTAGAGGACCGACCGCAAAGGCCACTTGATAGACAGACGACGCCAGTGACAGGGGGGAGTGGGGTGGGGAGGGGACCTCCTGGACAAGAGAAGCGCGTCGCTCGTGGCTGGATCTTGCGCAGGAAAAACGACTGACTCGGTAGTAGCGCTGGACGACAGGCGACCGACCACTGCCGCCCGGCAATGCACACTCTCGACTCACTTGACCTGCCGGCGCGAGCGCACGTGTCGCAGCAGGTGCGCCAACGCAAGTTATCGCTCGCGCAGATACACAGATAGATAGATAGATGGACGTGGCGGTGCGGGACCGTTTCGATCCATTGGCGCCTGGCAGTGGGGTAAGCGAGAGGAAATGTCGATCAGCTTGGTCGTCGAAGAGCTCTCTACGTCGATCAGCTGGAGGGAGCTACGATTCCCTGCATCGAAACGCGGTCGATCGATTGAACCACTCCGTCGTTGCTCTCGTCCAACGGATTGTCACGCCAAGTACAAACTCAGCTAGCGGGTCTGCCAACTACAGCAGTAAGAGCTCGTGCATTGCCATGTTCAAGCTCAACGGTAGCCCTTGGCATGCGAGAAAGAGAGATCCGGTTCACCTGACTTCCTTCCTTCACCTGCCGTGGGCAATGGCCGGTCCAGTGCCTCAACTACTCGTCTGCATGCCAGTGGTAGCATTACCACAGTAGTGCCCCTCCTCGGCCACCTCCTGACTCTCGCAGCAGCAGCAGCAGCAGTAGCGACAACGACACCAGCTGTCTGCCCCGTTGGCCCACCCACCCACCCACCCGATCGAGCGCCCTGCGCAGTCGGATGAGCTCATCATTTCTTGATTAGCCAACTGCAGTCGCAACCGCTGCGTGACAAGCACCACCTTCGGCCGGACCCCTCGACCCCCTGAAAGGCCACGGGTTGAGCTCTACGGTAGCTGCCATGATGTCGCTGCTCGCTCAGCCGCTGTCGCCTCGGAGCAGCAGTAGCCTCATGTTCGGTACCTACGACAGTGTCGTCGCCGTCCCATCACCATCGCCAGGTGAACTTCCTTCATCGACGTTTGCCGTCAAAGATCGACCGTTCGTGTGCCACGAGCCCAACTGCGGACGGCGCTTTAACCGCAAGTTCACACTCAGTGAGCACATGAAGACCCACACGGGCGAAAAGCCCTACGTGTGTCCCTTGGCCGAGTGCAGTCGACGCTTTAGTACGTCGGGGAACCTCTCGCGCCACAAGCGCCTGCACGCGTCGCTGAAGCCGTTCGAGTGCGACCTCAACGGCTGCAAGCGGTCGTTCCCGAGCCAGGAGAAACTCGACCACCACCGGAAGATCCACACGGGGCGACGGACGCACATGTGCAGCATCGGGGGCTGCACCAAGACCTTTAGCACGGCAGGGAACCTCACGCGCCACGTCAAGACCCGTCATCCAGAGCTCGTGCGAAGGCCCAATGCTTTCCTGTACCCCCACGCCGCGAGTCGTCTGGAAGCTCTGCCTCGCCCCATGACGAGTCCTATCCGTATCCCTTCGCCGCATCGATTGACGACCGTCGAGCTCGCCAAGCGACTTGGGCCGCCGCTCTCGCCAGTGTACTCGCCCGACTCGGTCGAGCTGTCGTCGTTCCACGACCACGGGTCGGCTGCTTTTCAGACGACCGACGGACTCGTCATGCCACCGCCGCTGCTGCAGTGGCGGCCACGGGAGATGGACCCACGGATGGTCGGGCTCGTCATGGGAGAGGCACCCGCAGGAGCAGACGTCCACCGATGCAGCATGAGCGTGCTGGACGAGATGATTGAGTTCGAGCTCACGAAGAATGTCTAGACCGTGCAGCGCTTTTGTCGTGTATAACAAAGAGATCAATAGATACGTGGCTGCGCCGAAAGCAGCAAGCAGTCGTCGTCGGGCCCCCCCTCTTCTCCGCTCTGTTCTTCCTCCGTGCCACCCATTGCAGTGGGGTTCCACCAAACTGCATTCCCATCTCTTGCGAGTCATGCTGCGCGCTACCAACGCTACCTCTCGACCAGCTGGTGCGCCTGAAGGGTTTAGTCGCCCGCCGAGGTCGACAGTTGACTCGGCACTGCCCCTTCTTCTTCTTCTTCTTCTTCTACCGGATGGTATCGCGGTAGCTCATGTGGGGATGAGAGCGGATCCGACTGCGTTGTCGAATCCCATTTCAAGAAACCCCGTCGCTCGCTGCCGCCCCCCCCCAGCCCGTGCTTTGTCCCTATCGAGCAGACACCACCGGTATGGTATCTGCCGTTCGAACTCGCTGACGATGGACGTCCGAAGAGGTTGAAGCGCTCAGGCGTGCGACTGACCGGTCGAGTTGAAGTCGCGCTTCATCTGCCTATGTTAAGGATAAGGTCCCGCTCTCTTCGTTGACTTCAAGTTGCATCTGGCACGCGTCGTCGTGGAGAAAAAGGCAGTCGGCGACGCTCGTAACGCAGGTGCTGTCGTCCAGCGATGGGAAAGCGACAGAGACACGACGTCGGTGGCGATTGTTTATGAGCACGCCGCCGTCGGCAGCACGCAGCACTGCAATGTCTCTCTGCAACATAAGCGAACCCGTCTCTCCTGCCCCAGCGACTAGCAGAACGTCGTCAACAACTGGAAGGCCACTGAGATTGGATAGCTCCCACCTGTCTGTGCTCAAGGCTCAACGCCCGAGCGCTTCGTCCTCGCAGAGCAGACGCTTTCGAAGGAACACCACACGGACGTGGGAAGTGGAAACATGGTTGTTTCCAATCATCTCGTCTTGTACACTCATGCTGCAGCTGAGAGCGTTCCTGAATGATAACTCGCCCGTGTCCAGTACCCCTGAGTCCATTTATCGTATCCCCAAACGCATCAGCGACTGCAAAGGTTCGCTGGTCGTCTAAGCAGCCGCCACTTAGTCGTGCCACGACGACGTTACTGCCAAAGTCGGACGATCGTTGGCTTCGTACATCATCGTACAGCTGAATTGTCGACGGACAAAAGGATGTTTTTGCGGTAGAAATTGACCGTTTGGTGGACGTACCCGCAGGAACGACCGCAAACGAGACACATGCACATGTGCCATGTGCTTGACGTTAGCCACACGTCGCACGTGACGCCCTCTCCCCTTTCGACGTGTAATGTCAGTCGATGCTCTCGCGTTCAGCGGCTGACGTCGCTCAAAACGCAGCTGACGCTAGCAGAACGTGCATGTGGTCGTCTAGAAACACTTCAGCTGCGCGTCGCAGTAGATAGTAGTGATGATCGGCTTTCACGATAGCTCTCTGCGCAACGATACCCGACCACGTCTGTCTCTGGCTGCATCGTCTTACCACGTGGTGCCCCCCCGAGCTTCTTCACTGCTCAATCGCCAACCAGCGTGTGCTCCATGCAACAGCCTTACCGGATGGATCCAATGGCTCTCGTAGGGACATGCAGAACGTGAGGTCGCACTCGCAGCACTACTCGTCGACAACAAGAGGAGGAGACTTTCAAGGTTACACTTGTTGATGGTGTTTCCAACACGGACGTTCGCTTCGTGTCGGGCACCTTCCTGCGCAAACCTGTGCGTGCTTTGCGTGTGCACTGGCGCGAAGAGGGTAAGCACACTGGACATCGACTTTGCATGTTCAGCGACCGCGGGCCGAGACGCGTGGCATCGGCCACACGAGCCACGACAGGTGAGACGTCAGGACATACTCAAAGTCTCTTTTGCGCCCAATCGTCATGTGCTGTGGCTGTCGAGCAGCTGCTGCATCACAAGACCTCTGCACGTCGTGTCGCGCATCACCACAAGATCTCCACTTGAGTTTTCGACTGGAAACACCATGTCGAATCCACTGGCGCTGGGGCTGGTAGCTCGACAAAGCGCACGAGGAGGTCAGCTATCCCTATCATTGTAAGGTACAATGAAGCGCGAACACTCCTCTAATGGCCTGCAACAGAGCGTGACGCAAAGCATTTGCAGCCGCTCTTCCAGACATTCAGCGACCTGTGGCCCCTCGTTCGCAACAGCAATGCCGCTCCACCCGTTGACAATGAACCGCGTGTTGACCGGTACGGGCACCGCAACATGAATCGTCTCACCGCCTTCTTCGTCAGCGTAGACTGCTGAAGTCGACACTGCTGCCCGTACGAACGAGTTCGTCGGCGCTGATCAACTCGCCACCTGGTCGTCGTCTCTCGGTCGTCGGAGGTGACTCAACACGTGTGAGTGACCTCAGACTGTCGCTGTGCGTGTGCTGGCGACAAGTGCACTGCTCTCCGGTCGCAGGTTTGACCCGCACACACTTCACAAGTGTCCAAACCACGAGCCCCTCTCGATGCAGAACCCAAACTTTGTCACCAAAGCCCAAGTCGCTCGTCCAGACGCCTCCTGTACGATCGCGTGTCGTGCAAATCGAGCTTCATGACCGCCGTGAGCCAGACGCTCACAGCCTCCAGCTGCTTCCGGAGCTCGTCACCCAACGACCCGCACGACCACAAGCGAGACAGCTTTGCCCATCCAGCAAGACCGTGACCAGCTTTTGACGACTGCCAGACGACAGGACACTGCCACTCGCTCTTCGAAGAGCACCGACGTCCATTGCTCTGGACAACGCGTGTCCGTGGCAACGAACGCGTCAGTGCTACGCAACATGGGGCCGTTCAGCGATCCGTCGGCGAAGGTCCTCATGGAACGCGTATCGCGCTGCAGTCTCTCCCGACACGACCAGAGGAACGAGCGTCTCCCCTCAGCACCCGAACACGCAAAGGATGCAGCCGCGGCAGCGGACGCCACGACCCCCAGCGGCACGTTCACTGTCTTGGGGTCACCTCTTCTTCCCACGGAGCAGCAGTCACTGCCACGTGAGCTGCAAAATCCCTGCGCTGTCGTCGTGAGTCTATGGAACCGCCGGTGCTTCGGCCTCGCGGTGCACAGCGTCGCGATGGGCATTGTCAGCACTGTGCTCCCGCTGTGTGTCTACCCGTTCCTGACGTGCCACCTCAACATGGACGGCACGCAGACGCTGTCCGCCCGTGCGCTGCTCGGCCTGCCCTGGGCCCTCAAGCCCCTGTTGGCCCTGTGCATCCAGTGCGCTCCGTGGGGCTCTGGCGTGCGCTACCGCAGTGCAATGCACGTCGGCTGGAGCCTCACGGCCGCTGCGCTCGTGGCCATCTTCTTCGTGCAGGACCAACCGACGCCGTACTTCATCGACCGCACGCTGGTAGGAACGCCGCTGGACCGCCTGTCAATGGCGCAACGGACGCGCGCGATCAACGCGGACGCACCGTCGCAGGGTGCGGTGTACATCCTGTTGATGTCCGTTGCGTCGGTCGGGTACGTGTTCGCGGACGCCGCGGCCGACGACCTGCTCCCCGACGTGGCAGCGCACGTCTTTGGACCATTGTCGGCTCGACCGGAAACCACAGCGCTCGAGACGGTCCTGACGGCGTACCGCGTGGGTGCGACGCTCGCGAGTCTCTTGTTCATGGGCGTCGCACTGAGCGGCTCGGACTACGGCGGCGACTTTGGCTTTACGCTCGAGTACACGCAGGTGATGCTCGTGACGGGCCTCGTGGCCACAGTGCCAGCGGTGCTGCTCGGCTGGACAGTGAGCGAGTCGGCGAGTGCGCGTCGGTCGGTCCGCCAGTCGTTTCGAGAGACGTGGGCCGTCGTGCGCGACCGCCGACTGCATCGCGTGCTCTGCTGCCGCTTCGTTGGCGGCGTGTGCGCAGGAACGAGCGCGACGGCCGTGTACCCGGTCGCGTTCTACTACGCCGGCGTGCAGCCGCTCAATGATACGGTCGTGTCGTTCGTCGCGATTGTCGTCGTGCTCGGCGCGCTCCAGTGGGTCCGCACGAAGGAATGGGCCGTCGACTACCGCGCGGTCCTACTCGTCGCCACTGTCGCGACATTGGCACTCGACTCGGGCGCGACGATGTTCACGACGTGGGACGTCGTGCGTAGCCAGTGGCTCTGGATCGGTCTGCCCGTGCTGGAGGCCATGCCGTCGGCGCTGGACTACACGATCACCACAGGTGTCGTGGCTGAGATCGCGGACGAGAGGGCGCAGGCGGTCGTACGGGGACTGGTGACGAGCGTAGCGTTCGTCGCGGGTCCGATGGGCGTTGCAGTGTCAAAGTTCGTTGACGCACAGGTAAACGTGACGAACGAGGCCGTCATGACCGACACAACGCGCGTGCGGACGCACATTACGCTGACGTTTTGCATTGCCTATGCCATGCAGCTCCTGGCACTGCTTTGGCTGGTGGCACTGCCAAAAGAGAAGGCACGCGAGTCATTGCCACCACAGGCAGTAGTGAAAGCTCGTGGCGACATATCAACTGTTCGAGCGCTGGGCCTCTTTGCAGTGCTGAGCACGAGTTTCCTGTTCGTTGTGGCAGTGCACGCGCTGTCAGTGTACGGACCGACGTCGTGTCTCGTTCTGGCTGGAGGCAAAGGGTGTTAGGTCAGACTCAAGTGGTCTGCAATACGTCTCTCATCCCCTTGACTGGGTCTGTGGATTATGGCGCTGGAGCTGGCACGCGGAGCAGAGCGGAGCAGACGGGCGACATGAAGACAATGAATGACAACATGGAGGAAGTGCTGTGGTTGAACGCTTGTTACCAGTTAGTGCACGACACGTTTGACCGCGTAAGAAGCCGATGACGACCACAGACACTGTTCTTCAGTGTCACAGGCCAATTCGCGCTTAAGGTCCATCGAGACAGCAGTCGCACAGATCCGTGTCGGTCAGTCCTCTCGAGAGCTCATGCGCTCGACCGACTGCAACGTCGATCCGAGAGCTCAGGGGGTGTACATGAAATCGCTCAGAAACCGGGCCAAGTTCTCTGGCTTTGCGATCGTGGCAAAGCCCTTTTCAAACCCGTACTCCGCGACAGCTTCAGCAATCTTGAGCGAGACATTGCGGATCGTGGACAGCGGCGGGTAGACACAGCCAGTCTCGAGGTCAGCAGGCGTGGTCAAGCCAGCCAGCGTCTTTGCAGCAATGATCATGACCTCGTCGTTGACGTGGGTCAGGCCCGCCGCTACAATGCCGAGACCAATGCCAGGGAACACGTACGCGTTGTTGCCCTGGCCAGGCACGTAGCGTTTGCCGTTGTACTCGACCGGATCGAACGGGCTACCGCTAGCAAAGATGCACTTGCCGTCGGTGAACGTGTAGGCCTCCTCGGCTGTGCACTCGGCCTTGCTTGTGGGGTTGCTCAATGCAAAGATAATGGGGCGCTCGTTGTACGTGCACATCTTCTGGCACACAGCTTGGCTGAAAGCCTTGGCAATGGTGCACACCCCGATGAGCGCCGTCGGCTTGATCTGCTCCACGGCCGACAGCAGGTCTGGACACGCGGGCGCATCGTGTGCAAACAAGAGCTTGTGGTGCTGCAGCGATTCCTTGCGGGACTGCACAATCAGCCCACGCGAGTCCACGAGCCAAATCTGTTTGCGCGCTTCTGCCACCGACTTGCCCGTCTCGTCGGCAATCGCCTGCGCAATGAGCTCGGCAATGCCCGTACCAGCTTCGCCAGCGCCGAGGAACAGAAACGTCTGTTCGCAAATGGATTTGCCCGAGAGCGGCACCGCCGCCAACAGACCTGCCAGCACGACCGACGCCGTGCCCTGGATGTCGTCGTTGAACGTGCAGTGCGTGTGCTGGTACTTCCGCAGCAGCTCAAACGCCGTCGAGTTGCCAAAGTCTTCAAACTGCAGCAGCACACTGGGGCCATACTTGGTCTTGGCTGCGTGCATAAACTCGTCCACGAGCTGCTCAAAGACCGCCCCCCGCACGCGCTGCTGCCGCAGCCCAATGTACAAGGGGTCGGCCAAGTACGCGTCATTGTTGGTGCCGCAGTCGAGCACGACGGGGAGGCACAAATGCGGCGGGACACCGGCGCACGCCGTGTAGAGCGCGAGCTTCCCAATGGGAATGCCCATGCCATTGGCTCCTTGGTCACCGAGGCCGAGGATGCGCTCGCCGTCGGTAAAGCAAATGGCTCGAACGTCCTGTGCCGGCCAGTGGTCCAAGAGCTCAGCCACGTGGCCAATGTCGTTGACCGAGATGAAGAGACCGCGTGGCTTTGACGTGTAGTTGTGGCTAAACTCCTGGCAGCCCTGGCCCACCGTCGGCGTGTACACGATCGGCAGGAGCTCGCACGTGTGCTCAATGAGCAGGCGGTAGTACACGTCTTCGCTCGTGTTCTGCAGCTGCTGCATAAAGAGGTACTTCTCAATGGGGGACGGCTTGCGACGGAGCGCCGCCATCGCCCGCTGGGCCTCGAGCGCGGTCGTGGACACCGCTGCCGGCAGTAACCCGCGCAGACCGAGTTGCTGCCGCTCTTCGGGCGTGAACGCCAGCCCCTTGTTGCTCGTGGGGGTGAGCATGGCCGCGTAGCCAGTGCGAGTCATTGGGAAAACGAGGGGGCGCGAGCGGCCTTTTGGGTTGGGTTACTTTGCAGTAACGAGTGTCGCGCCACTTGTGCTCGAGGCGGTAAATCTCAGAATGACGCGATGGGGACAAGCGCGTCGAGGCACTACTTGACCCGCACGTTGGGCACAGCGCATGTTGTAAATAGCTTGGAAACTGTAGGCACATACAATCGGCAAGTGCGTCGACGAGCGACTGTCGCATGGATACACACACTCAAAAACGGCTGTAAAATGCCCGAGAGCGCGTTCCGCGTGCTGTGCATCGGTAGTCCACGATGTTTTCTCGCCCACCAACGAACGCACTCTTGTGCTTGACAAACACGACGTTTGCACTCGACTCGCAAAGACTTGTCACGGGTTATACGAGTCCTGTGACATCCATTGTGCCGGCAAGACGTGGCTGGTCCGAGGAGAAGTGCAGTTGGCAGCCGATTTCCCCGTCGACGCCGTTCGTTAGCGCTGTTTTGTCCGACGCAAAGTGCAAACGCAGTGTCGAGACTGGCACCGCTCACGACACGTGGACGATCCACATGCGTGAGATTGCGGTAAGAAGAAGGGACATGGGGCGCCGCAATTCGCACTGCTCTCGGGTCTTGCCGCTTGTCGATCGTCCGGTCTTCCTCTCGCACTTGGATACCGAGACGCTACTCCACGTCGCGAATACATCACAAGTGTTGAATTAACAAAGACCGTGTGCTTGAAGGATGTCCGATGGTGTCGACGCTTCAAGCACAGACGCATCGATTGTCCACGATACCTTTTCTTCATTCCACACAGAGCTCCATACCATGCAGATGCCGACACTTATTTTATTCCGACAAATATATCGACAAATAAAGAATGTCTTTTATAATACGGACGGTTTACCATTAGGGGAGCTATTAAATGAACGCTACATGCCTATTTACTGTCTTTGGCCTTGGCCTGTGTTGACACTCACAACAGGTTGTGCGCCAAGAACAAGTGGGGCTGAAACCTTGCAGAACGGTGCTACAAAAAGAAACGTGATACTGTACAAGACACAGCTCATCCTGTAGTATCTATTGGCGGTCTGGGATAACGGGGTGCGGCTAAAGGGTAAGTCCAACGGTCTGATGCTTTATTTCTTACGTTTAAGACTAATTTTCAGGCATATACGTGTGGGGCAATTAATTCCATAGATCAATCACAGCATGCAGTTATACCGAAGAGTCTGTAAATTATAACTTACCGAAGAAGAGAAACCATTCGGCCGTGCTGTAAGTGAATCAAGCGACAATCGAAGTGTAGGCAGGTGCTGTTTGTGTTCTTGTTTCTGTTCTGTTCTCCATATCAGTCCAATGTTATTCAGGTTTTTATCTCGTGGGCAGTCTGGCGTTTTTCTTGCCGAGTTTATTGTTGCTGTTGAAGCTAATGCTGTATCGCTGTTGCTGGTGATGCTCTTGCTGCTGTTGCTGTAGATACTGTTGACGATGATGCTATTGATGCTGATGCTATTGATGCTGATATTATTGATGTTGATGTTGATACTGATGTAGATGTTGATACTGATGACGCCGTTGACACTATCTACTTATGTATCTCCCGCTCTTGTGCAATCGGTGACTTTCATGAAGAGATAGAGGACCGCTAGTTTAAAAATACAATGTCTCTGTAATAAATTTTGCCCATCATCATTTAATTATAGATGCATACAAACTAGAAAAAATGCCGGCAGTGCTATTTGATGCACATAACATAGACAGCATCCTGGTCACCCTTACCAGGTATATTAGTTGTAATGGAAGGTACTTTCGATGTCTTCTACTATGTGCGATATGTCATAAGATATTATGGATAAAGGTCCGAAATAGCTCTAGCTGCAAGAAACGCCTTGTACGCCACAATTTTCTTTGTAAAGCTTTTTTATTGAGATTGCTGCATGTGCTCAACGTTTTCGGCTCTAACGAACGCATCCTCTGACGGACAAGCGACATTTCGGACGCCCGACCGAAGGCATGCCACATTAGGCACACAAGTGCAGCGTCCTGGTAGTCTATTGAACATGCGGCAGTCGTGTCTATGTGTTACATAAGTAAAAGAATCTGACCTTTCATATTTGACGAAGCTTTCTTTATGAACCCTCCCTCTCTTGTCATGCATGGACACTCCAGGGTGCGCGCCATCTCGAGTAATATGTCGTACACGTTTAATCTTTGCGAAGCAAATTGTTTTAGCAGCCACTTCGAAACTTAACTGTAAAAGTATAGCCCAGCGTTTCAAGCTTAATTTTTTATATTTGCCCTTGATGTAGGCGAGGCGCATAGCAAACTTCTCCATTGCAGCAACGAATAACGCATCAAATGGATCACTGAGGATAGACGCTTTGGCCGTTTTACTGTGACGGACTCTGACGCAAGGAATTTCTTAAAGTTGTTCATTGCCGTAAGCAAGGCCGACTTGGTGTTGGCTGGCACCAACGACTGAATGCTCATGATCCTGTGATGTCTAGTTCTTGAAGTATGCTAGCGTACTCCAGTGTTTGAGTTCAGTTCAATGCGGCTAATGACTTGGCCTTTGTATACTGCGCAGACATACTTCAACATTAATCTCAGTGATTATGGTATCGTGGAGATTACTCTGCAGTCGCGTAGGGCTACAATCTTATAAAATTGAGTTAGATAGGTAATTGATTACGAAGCTGTCATTTTTGTCGAAATCTTTTAGAATATGCAACATAGTTTGCGTTTAACTAGGCGTTTATATGGAGCTCATACACATTTTTGGCTTCATTACGACAAGATATGTCGGAATGATGGAATGAATTTGCCCTACCCCTAATGGGTTGATTCGCTGAAACTACTATATGAAGAATCATGGATTGGCTATAATCAAATGGCAATCTCCTATTGGTCTACCATCGCATACTGAGAGCAAAGGAATATCGTTTGTCGTAGTTGTGATCATATTCATCCATACCATGAAAAGTCCGACCCTCCGACGTATCGTACGATGGGTACACATCTGGTACATTGTACCAATTATGTATTGAACATGAATTACCCAGCATTTTAGACGGTGTAAATCGTCTTCAGGCAGTCGGCCACTACGCCCATTCGCACCCTAACTTGCGGGGCGAATCACAAACGACGCAAAATGCATCAACGCCTACTCTAACGAGCTATGGACAGCCGCTGTCAACGCCCGCACCCGATACACTCGACAAGCGTTTTGAAAAACAAAACAAGTGACACGAGTGAAACGGTGCGGTAGACGAGCGGCGCTTCTAAAGTCGCGCAGCAGCACGAGGCGTGAGGTCGTCACTGGCTCTCACGTCGTGTTTTGTCGATCTGCACACAAATATTTCGTGCAACAGCGACCACAATACATGCAGATACCGCGTGCTGACTGCTGACGCTATAAATACCGGTACGACGACGGCCGACGAACGAGTGCCACCGATAAGATACGTGCATGGTGTCGTAAAGATCCCACATACCAAGATACGAGGCCCCGCTTTGTCGTTCGCATTCCTTCAATGACTACTTGGAGCACCAACGCGGCGCGCCTGTGCTGAAGAACCAGCACTACCGTAGTACTTTCAGTTCCCAATCATCTTGTCATCAGACTTTGTAAACAAGTTCATCGTAGCGTTAAAGTGTTAAAGCCCTGAATATTGAGCGTCGCGATGCGGTGCCGCTGGCACTCAGGCTTATAGCTGGTGCGCTCTATCGCAGTGGTGGTTTTCGGTGTAGGATACAAAAGTGCAACTTTAAATAGATCAATTATATGGGAAGCTGCGCGCCGAAAGCGATCTGTTTTTGACGCCGATCTTATCACACACGTGTAATACGGCATCGTCACCGTCCTGGTCGTCGGTTTGTCATCACAGTAGTCGATTATTATTACTTCCGGTGATAGCTCTTACTGCAACGTGCGACATCAAATGCCTACGTATTCATATGATAACGCAAGGTCTAAAGACGTCAATCTTAAAATCTAGATCGCCTTTCGGGTCTCCATCCTAATGCAAGAATGTCTAGCAAGCGTTTTGTCAGACCTGCTCTCGTTAAAATGCAAGATGCATACACTACTTATGTAACGGGGCACCGACGACTACGTACTGGTCAGCCAGCACGGAGTTTACTATCACTGACTGTAGTGATAGTCAGTGCCCAGCTAGGTGTAGAACTACACTGAGGAAGGTAGAACGACTAAGGTGAAAGACTTTAGTTGTAGGAAAAGTAAAACTGTTATTAATATAATTAAGTCCTATAACTCTTGTATCTCTGTTTGTCCTGATTTAATTATACTAATGTAACTAAATGTATGATGACGTCTACTCACCACCCATTGCGCGCGTCTCGCAGCGATTGGTGGAATGACATCATCACGATATCAACCAATGAGTAGACCCTTCGGTCATCTTCAACAAAATCAGCATGCTCTGTGATATTCTTGAAAGAATATTCAACGTGATATTATTTATTGTCATTTTCTTCGTAATGACAGTGTCATGTAACGGGCTACCCCGTTACATCACCCCTCCCTTAACCGATAGTCACCGTGTGACTATCTAAACTTTTGTGGCCGCCCGTTGGATGCCAACGGGACGGGGAGTACTTGTTGGTCAGATTCATTCATTCTATATTTGCCTCGCATAGTTAACATGCCTATGCGGGGTGACCAAAGACGACACAGCCTGTTTCTGCACCCGCCTCTGCGGCAGACAATTCGTCGTCTGCTGCTCGTTCTCAGAATGCTGCAGGTGTTGCTGCAGGCGCATGTGGTATCGAACCTCATGCACACAGTGACCCCGAGTAAGGGGTCAGCTACTCTGGCAAGTCAGATGTGTCTGACTCGGAAAAGCCTTTAGAGGCATCGCGTTCACCTGCGGTGCCTCGTTCATCAAGAGACTTGCAGAACGTACGGACTCGCGACATGCGCCACAGTCTCTTTGGCAGTGATGATGGTTTTGGTGATGAGATGGGCTACTCATCACCACGATCAACTCGTGCGCC